CCCGGTGGGGCTGGCGGCCGGGCCCCCCAGCCACTGGCTGGACCCCCCTACTGGCTGCACCAGGGCTGGCCGGACCCCACTGAGCCGGAGCTGCCCCGGGCAGAGGGGCTGAGCAGAGCTGGGACGCTGTATGCCAGGCCCAGTGAGCCCAAGAGGGGCTGAGGATCCAGCTGCAAGGGGGTGGATCTGGCCAGGCTGCAAGGGACTGACGGCCTCGGAGCTGCCCCCCGCAGCAGGGCACTTTCCGGGCCGGACTGTGACCCAGACACCTGGGGTCTGGCACAGGCCAGGCACCCTCCCCACAGGGCCTTGGTTAACGCAGCTTCCCCTCGGGCCCCAGGATGCTCCCCTGCCGGGATCTCAGCATTATCAGCCTCATTGGGTGGCAGGGGACACTGAGGCACGGGGTGGGGGAGGCCTGGCCGCAGCTCCCAGAGGGGCACTGGCAGAAGCTGGGACAGAATGCAGGAGTTCCAGCACCCACTGCTCTAACCACTACACCCCACTGCCCTCCCAGAGCTGGGCTAGAACCCAGGGACCCTGCCCCTGTTGCCAATGGATTTCAGGCCATCGGTGCCTCAGGAACAGGGCCTGACAGCCCATCACTCGGCTGGGGGGGTGCTGCAGCCAGAGCTCTGGGGCTCCAGCAGGGGAGCCCTGGCCTGGCCCCTGAGTGTTTGGGCTTGCCTCTGAGCACCACCCTGCCAGGGACACTCCCCCCTTACCAGCCTCCTTTGTCAGTTTCCTGGCTCTGGGCTCGGACAGAGAGGCCATTGCGGCGCGGGCCTGGCGGAAAGCTGCGGAAGGGGACGCTGCGGCAGTACACGACCCAGTCGGACAGCGCGTTGACCTGGGACATGTGCCAAGTGGGTCAGAGCCCGGGGCAAGGCCCGTGGCGCCGGCACCCGCAGCACCGGCTGAGCCAGCGGGGCCCTGGGCAGAGCCAGCGCCCCGGGAAAGCCATGGCTGCTGTGTGCGTGCACACCGACCTGTGGGCTCTGCTGGCTGCTCCCCCCACCGGGGGCCAAGCCCCTGGGCTGCCAATCTCAGGGTCACCAGGATAAGTCCTGGCAAAAGCCCAACCCCCTGGGTGGCTTATGGAGGCTTGGAGCCGGGCTGGGACAGCTCCTGGCCTGGCTTTCCCCAGTGTCTGGGGGGGTTCTGGGGCCTGGGTGGCACACCATGGGCCCCACAGAAGCCCAGGGCAGGGTGCAAGAAGATGTTAGCGCTCTATGGGACGATGCCACCAGCTGGCCAGTGCCCACGGAGAGCAGCCTTCCATTGAGAGCCCACGCCCCGGGGAGGTGCCCCCAGCTGAGGGGGGGGCGCGTCTGTACCTTGGCCCAGTGTCTGGGGGGGTTCTGGGGCCTGGGTGGCACACCATGGGCCCCACAGAAGCCCAGGGCAGGGTGCAAGAAGATGTTAGCGCTCTATGGGACGATGCCACCAGCTGGCCAGTGCCCACGGAGAGCAGCCTTCCATTGAGAGCCCACGCCCCGGGGAGGTGCCCCCAGCTGAGGGGGGGGCGCGTCTGTACCTTGGCCTCGTGACTCTGTCTCTCTCCCTCCGCCTCCAGCCCTTCCTCCTCCTCCTCCTCCAACACGTCCCCCTCCGTGGCCTCGTCCGGCTGCCCACTGAGCGAGTGTGCGGGGCTCTCTGCCCGCTTCCCCTTC